ACTAAGTTTGAAATAGCATTGAGGTCTGGATTCATATGTTCCATACTGTTTGATAGCAGATCACTTTCTTCCACAGCTTTAGTAATACCTGTGTATTATTAATAGATTTTTTTTGTCCTTCTAAGCTATATCTTTTGGAGTAGCGTAACAGTTATCCTGTTGAGCTTGTAAAGACCTTGGAGAACTCAGTTTTCTTGAAGCAGGCTTTTTCAGAGATAGGATCTGAAAAGGAATATGAAGTATTCCTAAACTAGTACAGTTTATCTTTGTGAAGTACTTCTGGCAGCATAAAGAGAATGGTCAGTGTAAGATCATATGGCATCCCCAGCTTTGAAAATTTTGAGGTAGTTGAATGTTGGTCAGCAATTTCAGACTGACCCATAAGGAAGGCACGACCTCCCTCTACTCATTGCCTCTTACTTCTTACTGTTCAAGGAAGTGCAAATGAAGTATGTGTTACTACAGATACCACATTTCAAGTGTGTTGGAACTGGAGACTTTTGGACTAAACCTGTGAGATTTAAAATTTGATTTCAGTCTAGTGTTTCCTTTTAGAATAGATACAGCAGCCACTGAGACTAGAAACAGAAGGCATTAGAAACTTTATAAAAGTGACAAAAAAGGAAAAATGATGCAAACTTAAGCTTGCATATTTGTGGGTAAACATAAATAGTTTATGTTGATCATGCTTTGCTTAAAAAACAGCCAACACTAGGAAACCGAGCCTTGAAGTGGGAAAAAATTAAACCTGTATAATGCAGCTTAAAGAAAATTGCTTTATGATGTTAATTAAAATAATGTACAATAAAATAAATGATAAATAAAAATTTATAGTTCATTTATATTTTTAAAGGCTGTTCAGATCCTTGCAATGTTATCTGCTCATTGCTTCAAACTCTCTTGTAGTTAAGTATAAAAGATGAAATTGAGGATGAGGAAGCAACTATTGAGGATTATGTTGATGAAAAGATGAGTGACTGGGATGTACCTTCAGTTCATAAAATGTATTCAGTTGCTGATCGGTGTCTGAATGACAAAAAAAACAGAAGGCCAGACATTAAGATGGTATGTAGTCTTTCAGATAAATGGCTTTTTTTGAGTGTGTGTGTGTGTTGTGTGTCCTCACGTGTGGTTACAGTATCAGTCATTTATATTTCTGTCTGTTCTCTTGCAGATCCAACAGCATCTCCAAGAGATTAAAACTTGACATGTGTTACTTCTGATACACAAATGTTTTTGTAATGGAGTAGACACCAGTAGCAAATATTTAATTAGCAATTAATGTGGCATTATCAGTTTTTCTGCTTTCCAGAACTTTCTGGACACAAGTAAGATTGTGCTGTTGGCCTGTCCTTTTTTGGTTAACTGAGCAGCCCTTTCACATATCCTTAGCCACTGGGCCCTTCACATGAGAACTACTTCTGTGTTAACAAATTGCATCATCTTCTCCACAGCTTTTTAAATGCACTTCCATATTGGAATCGATTTGATTCTTTTTATTTCCAAGTTTCAAGTATGTCTTTTACAAAGGGCAGACTTTGTAACAGGGCAGAATGTTTTTTTCTGCAAATTGCTTTCTTGATCAGGTGTACTAGACGTTCTTCTACTGAAGACAAAACCATATAATAGCTATAAATGGGGCTTAGTGTTGTCTTTTTGGGAAAAGACAATAGCATTACCCATTTAGAACAAACTTCTATTTAGGATTTTAACTTGAGAGTCCATATGAGCATGAATGGTCTGGTAGTGTTAGTGAATGTGACTATATTTCAAAAAGTCTTCTCGGCATTAGTATTTAGTCAAATAAATACTGCAAGACATTTTCTAGGTTGTTTTTTGATTTCAGTGATTCCTGAACAAAATAATAATCTTGCAGTGCAAATGTATTTGCACTTGCAAATGCTTTCTTACAGTGAACTCTGTGATGACAAACCATTCCATTTTTATTCATAGGAAGACTCTTAGTTACTTTGACTATTTTAGGAGAGGATTGAGTATTTTAGTACTTTAGGAGAGGATTCCCCATGGATTATAAAAACAGTTGATTTCTTTTGTTAAAGTGGTTGGAATTACGCTGTTAAGACCAATTCTGCATTTTCCTTAGTCACATAATTAAGCTATTTTTAATATACATATGTACACCTATTAATTAAATATTGAAATACACTTCTAAAAATATAACATGGAAAGCTTTTTAAAATAGGAACATGGACAGATCAAAGCAGACTAAAAATGGAATGAAAGTGACTAGCAAGATTCCAGATACTTTGGACCAAATATGAAAATGCTACAATTGAAATAAAAGATAGTATTTTATATAAACCCATTTTGCACCTCATGGACTTTCTTGACAGCTCAGGGATAGGAAAATAGTCTGGCCTACAATTAAATTTGAAATTCCATGATTATCAAAGAGGTGACTGTATTCAGGGATATATATCTCTTTGTAGAAAGCATTTGATTTCTAATGTATTTATATAATGAGATTTCTGGCTATTAACTCATTTTGTATTGCCTTTTCAAACTGATATCTTCATGTGGAAAAAGGGATCCACCTAAACTGCTTCTAGCATTATTGAGTATACATTGTAAAAAGCTGTAACATAAATAAAAACTCTGCATTATCACTGGAGATGATTCTTTCTGCTATTAAAACTTTTGAGCCTTGAAATAATCATCATATTCTGTTGCTTGCATTTCTGTTAATAACATTATGCTAACCTCACTTAATGGAATAAAGCTGTACAGCTCTGAACCAGGGCTTGTGGAGAAAAAAGCTGCTATAAAGGTAAATCACAGTAAAATCTGAAGGCATTTTTCAGTTTTAAACATCTCTAGCTGTTATGTGAAGGTTTCTTATTAGATCATGTCTGCTTTTACTATTCCCTGGAGCTGCAGTACCTCTGTAGTGTTGTCCTGAAATGTGTTTGCTGTAGTAACTCCCCGGTCAGCTCTGTTCACCTCTGGTGTGGTAGAACATTTTTGTTCATGCACCAACTGTGATATTCTTAACTATTAGGAAAATCTCAGCTACAAGCATGTGAGTTCCTGTTCTGTCATACTAGACCATGACTATTTGCAGTGCTGCGTTCAGCAGTGAGGTTTTGGCAGTAGTTTTCCTTCCTTCACTGAAAATGAAGCATGTCAGCTACCATTTCATACAATTAAAAAAAAAGTTTTGATCTTGTTGAATATTATTCTAGTGAAGAATGAAAATGTGAGGTGTTAATTAGGTAAAACTAGTTAACCTATGTGGCAACTATATTTTGTTTTAAATACATATGGGGCAAGGAGAAGGAACTTCCCTTTCCCACCTCAGGTTTTTTTTTTGAGGTCTTCATACAGTAAAGCCAGCACCTATAGACACAAACGGGATAAGAGTAGTCAACTTCTGTTTCCTTTGTTCCCTGCACAAACATTAAATTATCCTAGAATCCATAATTCTTTGTGTTAACTACTGTAGTAAAGCTTTCTAGGACATAAATCAGTAACTTAAGTAATTCAAGCTATTTGTGAGTAATGGGATGATCTAGTTTCATAGAACTGGAGGTGAGAGAAGTTGGGTACAGTTCCTGGTGGGTGAAGACAGCTCCACATGGGAGGTGTTCCTGGGAGAGAGGGAGGGCTAATATGGCTGGCCTATATCCTTTCTCAGCAGGGGAAGTGCCATGGAGAGCATTGGAAGATCACTGTCCTTGGTGAAATAGCCAACCTTTTGCACGTTAAGGATCTGGAGAACAGTAACATAAAATGAGTTAGTCACCTCTAGAAGGACGTATGAATGAATGAAAAAAAGCAAGTGATTTATTGGAATTCCAGGTAAGACTTTAGAAAACAATAGCAAGATGAAAGCAAATGCTAAGGATCCTAAGAAAGTTGCCTTTTTTAAATAGAACCTGGTAGGAAGGGCAACAGTTCTCCCCTTAGTTAGAGCAGGAGGTAACAGAATGGCTGCTGTGAGCCAGACCAGAGTTGTGTGCACAGCCCTAGGGCCAGAACGTGAGCCATTAGTGGCTGCTGAGGAACAAAAGCGAGGACAGGATACTGCAAAGTCAGATACTGCACTGGAATATTATGGCTTTAGACAATTTGCAGCTCAGTAACTCTGAAAAGGAAGCGAGGTCTTTGTTAGTTAAGACTATTAAATTTTCTTTGATCAGTTTGTCCAGTTGCCTTTTGAGCCAACACACCTTTTACCAGACATAGTGCTTCATATTACTAACGTGGCAAGTGCTTCATCTTCATACTTGGGTGGGCCAGCTGGGAGTTTATTTACCACCCACTGACCAAAAGGCAAATAAAGCTGCTTCTGTTTCTGCTGGTCACATAGAGGCCTAGCCTCTTCCTTCCTCTTGCCTTGTACCTGCTCCTCTTACAGCTCCGGTTCTATACAGCATTTTGCATTAAAATTATCTCTGAAATCCTAGTTCAGCACTTCTTCAGATGTCCTTCTTTCAATTGCAAAATTGCTGTATCACAGATTTCTCCATGGGGATGTGTTGGCAGGATAGTTAAAAGCCAAACCACTAGATGTTCTTTTCAGCTTGAATTTTCAGGACAATAGGAGGTCTTCAAATTATTTTCAGTTTAGACAAAAATTAATGGAACAACATAATTTGAGCAGTTTCATTATAGTAGCTCATGCTGAGCAAGTAACAACAGATAGAACTGTTAAATCACCACTTAACTACTTCAGCATTTTAAAAGGACGGAAGAACTTTTTGAAGGGGCTTATTACTGAAAGCAAGAAAACCTCAAGTGATGAACACACTTGCATACTGCTGTGGAGCCCTCTGTGCTGCTTCCATAAGACAACAGGAAAGTATCTGTTTCTAACATGGTGATTTTTCTCCAATAGCAGGAATTCTCTTTCTACTCACCTCCTTTTTTATACCTTGCAATCACTTTCTAGTCCCATAGGAACTGCCTTTTGCACATTCTGATGTTAGGATATAGATCTTTGTTAAAGACACCATGAAATGATTCAGACAACACCAAACTAAAGCATCAATCTTTATTTATAAAGCAAATTACAAAACAGATATGGTAAACTTAGTTCATTTTAGCATCTGAAGGTGGTTCTCACTGAATACACAGACACTGTAAATCAAGTTTCCTTTATCAATCTGTTTATCCGAGCAATAGAGCAATTATGACCTTGATTAGTTTAACCTTTGATAGGAGTGTTTTAAAAGATCAAAATCTCATGACCTTGCAACATAAACATTTAAAAATAATTACCTGTTGTATTAATTAACTGTTTAATAGCTTGTGAGTTAACTGCAAGCAGCTGCATTGCTTTTGGGCTTTCTGAAGGCCAACAACAATTTGAATGGACACTTTCAATTATTTAATGACCAGAGACACTTAAAGGAATAACACCAATTAATGCCCACATTTTATGCTGGCTCTGAACATTCATTAAAAGTAATGGAGGCAACTATGCAGGAGTAAACTTGATAGATTTTAGGAAAAGATCAGATGCTTCTCATTGCTCTGTCAGGAAAACAGGCCTGGAGAGGCAGCCGGCAGTGCAAGACTTCATATGATTCTCTTTTTGGGGAAAGGTGAAGGGGAAACATGCTCAGGACACGACTGCTGGTTGGTCAGGGGTTTCTACACCCCCACAGAATATTTTCAAGTAAAATAACTTAGAATGTCTGGTTTGGGCTGAACTCTAAAGCAGCTCATCATAAAGGCCGTTGCATAATCACTTAACCAGCTCTCATCATCCTCCAGATTAAGTTTTCCACCTTCTATTCTCATCTACCTAGGGCAGGATTAGGAAAATAAACCCAAACAAACCCCCCCACAACATGCACATAACTGTATAGTGTCAAACTGATCATTATTTAAAACATTTAGTATTAAAAAGTTGAACTTCTTTACTGGCTAAAGAAAGCGTAAAGATGCACTCTTGCTATGGCTGGCACATGGGCAGGAATACTAAATTCTAACAAAAAACTCTCTAGCAGTAATTTTTAACTGCTTCAATCAAAGGTTTTCCTTAAAACTAAACCAAACAAAAAAAACCCAAAGTGAATTAGGTGTGCTGCAAAGATTCAGAGTTCAACTAAAAATACATTTAATTACAGTGTACAATGAGCTGCACACAGTAACCATATTTAAAAAACAATTACACTTCCCTGACATGTAGTACATAGCAGAAATACTTCAAAGACCAGGTTCTTACCCTAGAGGGAGAAGGCAAGAGGCAGGAAAAGAACACAGTGGCTAAGGGCAAGCAGGAGATTAGCTGAGGATCTACTGAATTGGAGTGATGTAGTGTGTAAGATTATTGAAAAAAGCTGAAATGTCAAATTTCTACTGCATATAAAAAAACCACAGTAAAACCAACTATTGCAATCTTCACATTATATAGTGCAATCTCAGATGTCAATAACAAGCTAGTATCTCTAAACAAAATAATAGATAAAACAAATTTTATCAGGAGCTAGTAGTGTCAAAGAATTATTTCCCTAAAAAACCTAGGTTAAAAACTGTCTTCCACCAGCTAAACACATGATTCAGCTCTATAACGTGTATATCCAGCAGCTATGATAATAAGCAGTGAACCAAGACTGGCAACTCCCATGTAGCTTTAAAAAACCCCAAACTGACAAAACTCAAAAACCACAGAGCTCACATACAAGACACTAAAATGCAGGTCCTCACTGGAGAATATAATCTATCACTAGTATTTGCCTCATCACACAATTTTAAATATTTAAGGTCATCCAATACTTGATTTCCACATCTAATTCTCCCTTAGTCCACTTATTAAAATAATCTATTTTACCTCTTCCTATTAAACACATTACTTACAGTTCAATCAAGTTTAGACTATTCTGGCTGATTTTAGTATTCTGGAGAAGGGAAGCAGGGAGGGGAAAAAACCAGACAAAATCCTAACCAGGTGCTTGCTGCCAGCAGTTATTCAAGACCTAGTTGGATTTCAGTTACTAATAAAGTTCAAAAACTTAGGAAAAGTCATTTTCAGTTAATACTGCAAACACAGTAAGATCTCAATGATAACTCACCATTATGAAGCGAATCTATTTCAATTTTTACTGAATTTACACATTTTTAGATCTGAGTGCACAGATAATCAGATACTTTAGGCATATTGCTTTGAAAGCAGCTTCATAATCTACTGAGTATACTAACTCATGCACTTTTAATCACCTTTTACTTGGTCATTCAGTACCTAATATGTAAGGCTTTGGAGTGATACGTAAGACTGGAAAAGCTAGTGGTTTTTATGTTAGATTTCCTTAAAAGACAATTCCATGAAATTAGTTATAAATTTGAGATGACCAAGCGTTTGCATAGGAAAATACCCAGCTATTCCTGAATAGTTACATTAATTTAACGATAACTGATTTTTATCTTTTCCATTACAAGAAAAAAACAAAAGGACCAAAACCAAACCGAACAACAACAAAACCCAACAATGCATCCTGTCAAAATCAGAGGAAAACCTTCTACTGTACTAATGTCCATAAGTGCTACAAGGAAAAATAAAGATTTAATTGGGACAATGCTATGTCATCTTTATCTCTTCTCACATGGAAAGTCTTACATGTTTCAATAGGCTGTGCATAAGCATACGGCTGCAACTTGCCCACAGAATACATGGGTTTCATAGTCTTATGTCTGTAAAGTTTATGATCACATGTACAACTATTAAATAATGGATTCTAAATTAAAATAAAGGGGTACTAGCTTAGTCTTACTTTTCTAGCTTTAAAATAATTAGCTCTTCTACATGTCATAAAACATGGTCAACAAATATAATCATGTAACAATATAAAAAGTGTTGAGGTCAGAAAAGAGTAAAAAGAGCCTTTTTCCCCACTAGAATCTATTAATGGAATGATTTCAGTTCATTACCAAAAGCCAGAAATTAGTTTCCTATTGTAATAGTTTAACAAATATAAACAACAGTTTCTAATCACTAGGTGTTTCAGTCTCTGCTGGACCTCTGATCAGTCTTCGTATTCCCCTCTTCCCCGCAGGACCTTTTGGTTTAGCAAAACTCTGTTTGTAAGCATGTTGTTTTGGATGAACCTCTTCATAAAGAAAGTCAGCAGTTAACTCATCACCATTATCAATTTCAATCTGGCAGGAAAAAAAACAACATTTATCATATTCATATTAAAGTCAAACTTAAAAAATATTTTGAAATTTTGCTGAAACTAAATACTATATTAAAACCATATGTGCAATAATGTTCAAAGTGATAGCATGGAAAGTTCTCCAACTTGTGCCTAATGCCCTGAGAAATCTTGGATAGTTTTTCTGAGAATCCCCTTGATTCTTACCAGTATTAAGTGTGACTTAATTATTTTCCTGAAATATAAGCACAACTACACAGTACATCTGCCAAGAAGAAACTGTTTTTGTCTCAAGCTTTAGCACAGTGCACCTGTTAACACTAACCAGGAGAACATATTCCATGTAAAACTAGTGCTTGTTTACTTGTTTTAAGTATTCACACATTTTAAGAATTAAAAGTTTTCACTACAACATGCTTTAAACACTAATTGTAAAAGCAATGTGCATACATTGTTGTCTCTTGAGAAAGAGGGGAAGGAGTATAAACAAGCTTATATTATTAGCTGGCTACTGCCACTCAGCAAGTATTCAAGGCGGGGGGAAAGGTAAAATAAGTTTAATGAACAAAATGGAGGAGTGGGTGTTTTAATTTTCAAAATTTAGACATATGAACCCGAATAGAAAGAAAATAGTGTTCTCAAGCCAAACTCCACTGTTTTGAAATGCAAGAATTTAAAATTCAGAGAAATGCTTTGGCCCTACTCTGCTGAGCATTCAACACTTCATGCCCTGCCAACTGTAACACTTAACAGACTTGCCAGCCACAGTTTTGCTGTTACAAGTACATGCCTCAGAAATTTCTGTCTACAGGAATTTTCAGGAGTCACATGGTGCATTTATTTTGTTGTAGAAAGAAAATTTCTGAGAAATAATTAAATATAAAAACACATAGCAATAATCTATGTAATTGATGTCATCTCAGTAAAAATGGTTAATATTAACTCTGCTATTTTTTAGATAAACATCATCTCCACAGAAACCAAGCTCTCGCACAAATGTTAAGAAAATAACTGTAGGTCACAACTGGACCATTTCTATGGTCTCTGCTCTGGAGGTGAGAAGCAACTTTTTGCATAGCAGTACAATCCATACAGTGTGAAAAGATCAGCTTACTTGAAAATCCTTGTTTGCCTCATCAAGGACTCCTAAAATAGCAGTTCTAATTTCCAGAACTGCAGCTTGAAATTATTTTGAAAATCCTTACATAACCTTGGCTTTAAGGGAATTTAGTTTTCAACAACAGCAATATGTTGTGCTCCAAAATACGACTCGGCTTTGAGTAAGAAATCATGTTAGTTCTTCAAAGTACACTCAAACACTTCCTTGATGCACAAGGATGTACTTGTTAAAGATCTGAAAGTGCAGAAATTATGAAAAAGAGAAAAGCTTCCAAGACTTAACTTTGTATCTGGACCTTCATCAACAATTATTTCCTGTTCAGGATAAACTTTAATAGTTACAGAACATTTTTCACTGTTTAGAGAAGGTGGTGACAGAGACAATTACAGTTTTACATGAAGAAGTGAAGAGAGGGATGGAGAAACTACCTATACACCCCAATGCACTTACCTTTCTAATTATCTGCATCCACAACTGTGTTTCTACAATTTCTAACAGTGGACTTTTGCAACTAGAGTAGAGCATTCGTTCTCGTATACTACAGGTATACCCTGGCATAGAGTAGATGAAAACTGCAGGGAAAAAAACAAACAGACCACAAATCAAACCATAACTACACTCCATCAAAGCTTTATCATAAAATCATTTACAGCAGAGAGGCATTGGAAATCAGCTATGCAGTCTGAAACGGAAAAATGTAACACCATTCTGGATCTTTTTTGCTTCAGCAAGTGTTTAATTTCAAATGGGGGATAAGAGAATGGCCGGTATTTATGTTTTGACATTTATGGGTGTTCATAATCCAAAGGGATAGCTCACTACTTTCCAAACATAAGGACTCTCCTTCACAAGACACTCTCACAACCAAGTGACTCTGAAATTTACGATCATGCTGACAGATTACTTCTATGACACATCTCTCTGCCTCAAAATTCCTAAAGTATTTGAAACAAGCCAATGAAGTTTCATACTGAGAAATTTTCTCATACTTATGGATTCCAAATAGTCTCCTTCATGTGTGTGCTTATACAGGAAAAAGTGGTAACGCGCAGCATCCTTTGGAACTCTTTTTGGCAAGTCCTTAAGTTCAGTATCAAGTGTGTTGGCCAAAATAATAGTTTCATTTTTCATATCAATTTGCTGTTAACAAAGCAAACATGAATACAGTTAATAGGCAGAAAGCAAACCAGAGAACATAACAGGATGAAAAAAATTTTATTTAATCTAATAAGAGTAATTTATCAGTGTACTACAGCAACACATGTTTAGCATGCAGGTAATTTATTTTATACTCATTATTAAAAAATAGTTAAAATATTTTATACTTGCCAGCTGTACATAATTGAGTTTCTTATTTTTCAATTTCTCCAAAGCCTGAATAGCTTCTTTAGCAATGGGGAATGCTACTCCTTGCAATGTTTGATGCTTGGTGTCTACACCAACGTCTGCCTGTACCTGGAACGCAAGTTAACTGAGATGTTAAAAGAAACCTTTGCAAGCATTCGTTTGGTTTCATACAATGACTGGCAATGCATTGCATATGGTTACACACAGAGTTAGCAGTAGCTATTCCAAGAGTAAACCACCTCAAAAAAATCATTCCTGTATACAAGAGATTTGCATTTTTTAATTTACAGGTCATGTTTGTTTGCTAACCTGAGAAGTTTCATATCTTTGAAATGGCTCTGCTTAGCAGAGCAACAAAATCATCAGAGGGAAAACTGGTTCAAGTGTCAGTGAAGAAGCCATAAGTTAAATTCTGGTATAAAGATGCAATAATCCAGGAGGAAAAATCTTGATTTTCATATGCTGTTTTATACTTTTGAACTGACAATATTGTTTATAAACTTTGTTGTATAGTGAAGAATTTTAGATCAAAACAAAGATTTGATTTCTAGGGAGTCAAAATTTTTGGAGGAACAGAGAAATTATATCTTATGAGACAAACTGATCTTCTTGAAAGAAAAGAACAACTATTCCCCCTCCTGCTTCAACACACTCCCCCAAAAAGCCTGTACCAAAACCAAAGCAAACAAAATAAACAAAATCTTCATTTCTTAAGGATTAGACCTTCTAGAAGGTCTAACACAAAGAAAAATTCAGCACAAGCTAAACAATTTTTCATAATCCAGTTACATTAGGCACAAATTATTTGAGAGAAAAGAACAGTTATTTTAAAGCCATTTTTCAAGAATTTATATTTATCTTAATATTCATGTAGTTTCTCTTAAAATGAGCTCTGGCCTCCAATATTCTCTAGTACTTAGACATTAATTTATTCTCTAAGTACTAGCTTTTGAATATATTAACTTTCTTCTATGATTTCTCAAATACATTAAACATTGATTATGAAGGAGCAAAAGTCAGAAAAGTGTACCAGATAGAAAGTGTGGGTCTTAGATCTATCAACTAGATCTATCAACTTATTCAGCTTTAATTAAAAAGAGATGCTAATGAAGTATGAAACAAAATGATAAGAAAAATAAAAAACAAAGGTACTTGTAGCAACACTAGATTATACTCCAGATTTTGAAAAACAACTTGTCAGCAACAAGGAAAGAGGAAAAGAAAGCAGGTGGAGAGCTTACTTTTGTATAAAGATTGATAAATTTATGAATTAGGTTATAGAAAAAAATATTTGCAAAATATATCTGCATAAAACCCGGATCAGTAAATGTAAAATTGGCATCACAAAAATAATAAACTGTAATAAAATACCATACTATAGAAACCACATTAAAATACAATTACAAAAAAAAATGCTTCAAATTTAAAAATGAACTGTGAAGTGTGAGAGACAGGCAAGGGAAGAGAGTAACCCAATATAACTCCAGATACAAGAAAACAAACAAAACCTACTTGTTCATACTGCAACATATTTCAGACCTTTAAAGCAAAACAAAACCACCTAAGTCGATTATGTATATTTAAATTCACACCGTAAGATTTAGTTAGTGATGGCTGCTGAGTGGTGGGTAAAATGCCAGATGAAATTTCCTGTGAATAAATATAAAATAATGTACGCAGGAGGAAAAAAAACCTCTCTTCTACCTCTATGGTAATGGCGTTGAGCTAGCAACTACCATTCAGGAGCCAGACCTTGCAGGTCATTCTGAATATCTCTGAAAATAACCCCAAGCAAAACAAAAAACAATCCCAAACACTCCCAACCCACAAATGAAATGTTACGAGTTGTTAGAAAAAGAGAACAGAACACATCATTACGCACTGTAGATATCAGTAACATGCCTGCATCTTGAATACCACATGCAGTTCTGGCTTCCCCATCCCTCCATCTCATAAATTATATAGCAGAACTGGAAAAACTGCAGAGAAAAGCAAAAGGATCAGAAGTATGGAGTGCCTTCTTGAGGAGGAGGAACTACCTAGATTAGGACTCTTCAGCCTGGAAGAGATAACTGATAAGGAATATGACAGAGGTCCATGGATTATAGAATCATAGGACAGTTTGGGTTGAAGGGACCTTTAATGGTGATCTAGTCCAACACTTCAGCAGTGAGCAGCAACATCTTCAAATAAACCAGATTGCTCCAAGCCCTCTCCAGCCTGACCTTGAATATTTCCAAGGATGGGGCATCTACCACCTCTCTGGACAACCTGAGCTAGTGCCCCACCACACTCATTGTAAAAAAATTCTTGCTCGTATCTGATCTGAACCTGCCCTCTTTTAGTTTAAAACCACTAGCCCTTGTTCAATTGCAACAGGCTCTGCTAAAATATCTGTGCCCTTTTTTATAAGCCCCCTTTAAGTGCTCTGTAAGATTTCCTTGGAGCCTTCTCTTCTCCAGGCTGAACGACCACAACTCTCTCAGCCTTTTGTCACAGGAGAGGTGGTCCAGCCCTCTAATCATTTTTGTGGCCCACTCCAACAGGTTCACATCTTTACTGTGCTGAGGACCCCAGAGCTGGATGCAGTGTTCCAGGTGGGATCTCACCAGCGCAGAGTAGTGGGGGACAATCACCTCCCTTGACCTGCTGATCACACTACTTTTGGTGCAGCACAGGATACAGCTGGCTTTCTGGGATACAGCTGGCTTTATCTAAGGGGAGGAGGAAACTGAGGATTGACTTAAAGACTTTTCTTTGCCTTCCCCACACAATCTGTAGGGTTAACAGAATAAATTAGTAGATAGCAATCAATGGTTCTTTATTTACATAGTACTCTGTCAAGCTGTAGAATATGCTGCCATGGGATTTGCAGCCAACAAAAACTTTATGTGGATTTAGAAAAATGACAAGTCTAGATGATGGATAAAAAACCCACTAAGAACAATTATATAGAAACACGTCATCTTTTGTGCAGGAAGATCCCTCCCTGCAAATGTTGAGGCAAAAAAGAGTATTTAAAGTAATTATCATGGCCTTCTTGCCCTGCTCTTACATGCTTCCTAGATTTCTGCCGTTGTTCACTCAAGGACTTGACAACAGACTAGGTAATCCTTTGATGTGACCCAGTAAAATATTTCTTAGGGTAATTATGAAAGAATATACATATGGAAAACTTTATAAAATCAGAAAGCTTTTCGTTTTCTAAGTCCAATTACAGGCTTTGTAATGGTAGAAACAATAAAGACAAAAATAACGTAAATTAATGTATTGTGAGACATTTCAAAGCCAAAATGGCAGCAATCTTTATGTGTTTATCAGTTTATGTGTCTCTGAAAAGCACAGCTATTGCTGTTAAAGTTTCGTAATAACACATGAAGTTTTAGTCTGGATGAATCAGCTGTTAACCACATTGTATGTAGTGCATAAGAGATAATACTAATACCAGAGGTGATCACCGATCCCACAGAAGTTTTACATTCATTAATTTTATGTTTTAAAAGCTGATCAAGTAAAATGCACTGTTTGATGATGATTAATTCTACATCGAATTAATTAAAACCAGAAATGAAAAATAATGAAAGACACTACTGGGAAAAAAAGTCAATAAACAACAAAGCTTCAGCAAAAGCACAGTAGAGTGAAAACATAAGAGAAGATACACAGCTGAATTTAACATGATGGTTTCCCGGTATCCAGCTGCAGAAATAAATCATACTTCAAATACACGTACCACAACTGTAAAATACAAGTTTCGAAAACAAACAAGGTCAGCACATGACCTATTTTAATATGCATCTGTACACAAACAGTGATCAAGTGAAGGAAAAATGTGAGAAAAAGAATCCTCTGAAACTTTTCAGGCACTAGTTAGCTGGCAATCATCAAATTATTTGGTTAAAAGCACTTGTTAGAGGTTTTTCTAAAAAGTGTTCATAGCGTAAGCAAATCAGTCTCTCTTTTTTTTTTTTAATTGGAATTCACTTCCTCTCAGTCTTAAAGATAAGTGCACTGGTGCTGGAAGCTAGGTATCTCTTCTTTAGGAATAAGATTGCTGAAATACTCCTGGCAATCATTCACTGCAATAGTTGCTATTTTGTGTTTTCTCTACAATTTCTGCCACCATGGGAAATGTATGTGGACAATCACAGAATGGCTGAGGTTGGAAGACCTCGCCGGAGGTTATCTTGTCCAACCACCCTGCTCAATCAGGGCCACCTACAGCCAGATGCCCAGTTCTCTGTCCAAACAGCTTTTGAGTATCTCCAAGATGGAGATTCCATAACCTTCCAGGGCAACCCATGCCAGTACTCTGTCACCCTTCCCAAGGAAGCACATCCAGTGATATTAAAAGCCAATGCTGCAACAATTAAGCTCTGCAGTTGCCAAGCCTCTGATTCAGACATGAGGCCTTTCAAACTCAGCAAGATCATGCCACTCCAACTCAAGCCATCATCATCCTGCAGTTTCAACTCCTTGAGAAATAAATTTATATTCTCATCCACTCACACTTCCTAAAACCTTCCATTTTCTGCTCTGCCTTTTTTTTACTCTAGAAAGACATTTCCCTACAACACATTTGAAACTCTGCACCCTGTTTCCCACTCATGCTTGAAGATGTTCTAGGTACCTCGTTAATCTTAATTTGTCGAAGTTCCTCTTCTGCTGCAGTCAAGGGTGCAGGGGAGGATTGTGATATCAAATATTTTTTATATCCATTCAGTGAAACATCATCCTGAAAGCACAATATAAATATTGAACATTTTTTTTTATAATAGATAAATAGTTTTCTTCAAAGATTTTCTATGCAGCAGTACAAAAAGCAGTTATTGTCCATACATTTATGATCATTTTATTTGAACAGAATACAAGTGTAGGTGCATTTGCAAATTCAGCTCATCCACAACAGAGTCCTCTGGGCTGTTCTTGTTTTACCATGGGTAGCATTTCCATAATCAGTCCTTAATTACCTTGCTAATTAAAAAAAATTAGCATTAATGAAGACTGTGTCCATGAAGTTCTTCAGCCATCTTGGACAAAACCTCACAGAATTGCCACAATTCTAATAAATAATTAAAAAACCTATTTTGTTATAAAATTTACATGCTCAAACTGGTAGCTTATTGCTAGTTTTCTACCTATGAAATGGGAGACAGAAATGCTACCTTAGGTCAGGGAGTAAGCACCTGATACTGCAAATAGTTTAAGATGTGACATCACAGGAGCCTTTAATTCTCATAATCACTTTTATTATTACTCAGTGATGGTTGTGTCCCTCTACAAAGGGGTTGATACCACAGGCAAATGCTGTTTTGTTTTTATTATTAAGGTGGCCACTCAGAAAAGGGCAGGACTTCCTGCAATCATAGGAATGTGATTTTATACTGAAGTTCTGAGAAGAGAAAGCTCCTTCTTAGCGTTTCCCCTTCTGAAAGAGACAGACTTTCCCAAATACAATTTCCAGTGCCAATATTCCATTATGCCTTGTTTCAGAAGCCCAGAGGTATTCAGGTTAATACATGTGAATTAGCAGGTGGGACCATAACCAGGTTCCACCGGGATTAAGGACCTGGTTGCAACTAAACCATCCTTATGTTTAACAAAATAAAGACAAAGTAACATGCTGGATGGTAATGATCAAGATTCTGAGTGAACTTAGAGACTTGAATGCTTTGAAGAAGCTGTGATTTTCACATGGATGTACATTAAAGGCCAGCTACAATTAAGAAGCTTATAAAGCACTGAAACCAACAATGCAGAGACATATAAGCTGCAACATAATGAGCTGGGAAAAAGTGAGCTGCATCAATGCCATCCTCTATGTGCCCCGGGCCTATTTCAAAATAACAGTAAGACAAATGTAATGCTCCTTTCTTACAACTGAGATCGAATGTAGGGATAGACACAGATTCTACATATTGCATGAAGTGCTAATGGTTTGGTGCAAGTGGTGGTGAGAGATTAGTTGACTGAACAAGAAAAAAATAACATGACCTCTACCAGTAAACCCTCTTAGCAACTTGGTTATCTACTTCCCTAGAATACAGCCTCTCCAGAGAGGTTTATTTGCATGTTTGTTAGGATAATGAAGCCTCCATGACAGGTTAATGCTAAATATAACAAACTACTCAGTGAGCAGCAGAATTATTAGCCTCATGTCCACCACAACAGCCCATCTCTTTCACAGGCTTTTTCCCGCTACAATATCCTCTATTCTTCCCCAAACCTCCAACTCCTTCCATTCCTTCAGCACCAGCTGCCTGTCAATAGTGGCAGTGCTTTGGTTCAGATTTTTTCAGATGAACTGATTAACAGGTCAGACAGAAAATAACTGATGCAGTCTTTGCTGAAAGAGGAACTGAGTAATTATAATTTGAATCTCTGTGTAATCTCAGTTCTTATGAAAACTATGAGAATTCTTTATCTCTGAGAATTCTAACTTGTATTTCTTTTAAAACTGGCAATGGATTAAGTCAGAACTGTCTGACATCTGCTTGACAAACAGGCAGACATCACAACCATGTAAAACTTGTTTCTCACAGAAACTAAGGTAAGAGCCCCATATTTCCCTACGTGCACAGCACTTGCAGCCTTTGCAACATCCTTTAGACACTTGTTAGATTTCATATATGCACCTTCCAATTATCTTACCATAAGTGAACAATCAACTATTAGTATTTTCATTGAACAAATCAGTAGCTACTAAAAGTCTGTTTCCCCAAGTCAAGATGGCAGCCTTGCATGTGAGGTACATTCTATGGCCAAATCCTAAAGAACTGACAGCTTCATAGCCTTAGTTTAAGAGAAAAACATTTGTTTTCAGGTGTTAGCTTACAGATCACTGTTCTAGCCCATCCAGAGCCACATATCTAAAGTGGCTTGTGTATACAACTGGCCTGGAAGTTAGTGTTACAGCTTTTAGAGGACTCACATACATGCAGTGAGATTAAGAGAGGTGCCTATTATGTTTAGATTATTTAGTTTTCATAACTTAACTATTTGAAGCAAGGGCTTCTTAGCCTGAAGATATTACCTATACTTAGTAACTTGTCCAAATGAGATCAAATACACTTGAATATTGTAATATTACACACAGCTTTTAAATCTTTTTTTCCTTAATCAAAAAAGAGCAGAAACACCCCAAAATCATACCAGTAATATCAGCTAGTACATTTAGTATTTAAAGTCAATGTCCAGACTTTAAAAAGAAAAACATACCTGTACCGTTCCAAATACTTCATCCTTAATGTGACCACCTCCAAATTCTTTCTTAAGTGTTGCTCGGGTTGCTGCATATAACATTTTTTGACGAACCTAGCATATAATAAAAGAGTGGGGGTTTGATTTGGGCACTTTTTTGCTCTTTGGTGTACAAAGAGAATCTAACATGTTGGTGTACCATGTCCATTAACTAGTATCTTTCTTGAACAAGTATTTTAAATGTTGGAATTGCACTATAATCTGGTAGAGCTCTGGATCATGATACTCACACATGCTATTAAATTCACCAGGTCATGATACTATGTATTATTATCACAGTAATTGCAAAACTGAATTGCAGCTTTAGTAAGAGTATGAGCTTTTTTTAAAGTGGGAAAAAAAGTCAACATAATCTTTACTAATTTTAAATGGGAAAACCCACAACTGTATAGATCTTTTGTCACTGGTCTGTGTGCTAATGGATACAACAGACAGCGAAAGAGCAGACTGGAAATAATAACTCGTTATTATTTTTTATTTGATAGCGACTCCAGATACTGATGGTTCAACTACAGAGTAGAAAAGTTATATTTGCTCCCTATCAAATTGTGTCTAACATGATCACTTATTCCTCTCTCAACAGTCTCATCTTCCCACCTTATTTAACCATCATGACATCCTCTCCATAATACTTCACCTTTTCCACAATCTTCTCTATGCACTTCAACTTTCAGTGTCTTACTATTTCCTAACTACTAGTGAAAGCAGTAGGAATACTAGAATAGTTTTACTTTCTGTCTTCCCTTATCTCACACTCCCAGAACCTGCACACAGTTTCTCCTATAAAACCTTAACTCTAAGGAGTTCCTCTCGGTTCCCTCCTATGCTCTTGAATTACTGATTAAGAAGCAGTGTATTCTGTGGCAAGCCAAACAGAATAAACAGCTTGAGCTCACACTATAATCCTTCTCTCTACGATAACACCCATTAAGATTTCTGTCCTATATCTTTTCATGAATTTTTATGAAATACTGACAGTAAGACAGACAAACAGGGCAAAAAACCTGTACTTAGTGCTCTAGTCAGGCTAAAAATATATTGGATCAGCTGCACTCTATCTAGACCTACTGATTTGCTCTTCAATCAGCTTCAAGAAACATTTTTCCAGTTTTCTTGTGGGAATGTAGGGGGAAGGTTGGGGAATGCTTCATTCCTTAAATCCTTTTGCTTCATATCTAGGATTCAGATCAAATGGCACTGTTGAAAAATCACCAACAACATGAAGCCTCTGATGCCTGTTACTTACAGGAGAGTGATCAGGTGACCATGCAATGAAGATCCATTCATATCCTTGAGCATTCTGAGAATCTAATCTGTATAATATATAACATGGTTGCTTGTCTTCAAGAAGGGGAAGGACAAAGCAATCGTAATCCTTTTCCCATGATCCAACTGGCCGCCTAGAGGATCCCACAACAAGCTGCTCTACAACCAATATAAAGCTACAGGTTAGCAACAATACAGTTAACATTGTTTTTCAAAATTAACAATTAAAATAAGCAGTTAATTTGTCACTTTCGTAATTATGTCCACAAGAATGGGAGTCAAGAACAGTCAACATGAAAGCAACTGAATTCCTATAAAAGCTGTGTATATTCAAACTCTAACTCACTTTAACCAAAATACAAACATTTGAAAAGTAATGTGCTGGTTGTTATCAAATTCTTTGATCTGAAGTGATACTACTGATGTTAATTTTTTTAGCAGCACATACACAGAAGGGAAATAAGAACTGTCTTCTGCCAGTTTATTTTTAAATTGAAATGCCTAAGTACAAATGAGAGTAACCTTTCAAATTTTATAATTATAATTATTGATGCTCATGCTATAAAATATTAGTGTTTGCACCCATTGTAAGGAGTCAATAACTCAGTTATACAGTGAAAAGAGTCTGGAATGAATATGCTTGCATTAATCACTTTAACTTGACTATGTAAGTAGATAAACCTCTTTCTAATACAGCTTCATAGCTATGGTCTTTAAATGACTGAAGTTGTTTATCATGTATAATTGGCTTAAGTCTGTATAGAATACTTCAAATGGTATTTAATTATGTGAACAGCTGTAGCAACAAGATTTTTCTGTTATTTATGCATCATATCTCAGCTTCCAAAGGAAAGTATTAGTATACTGCCTTATAAAACATTTATCAGCTTCCCATTACGTACTAGCCCCTACAATTGAAATAGAAATACCTTGTTTAAATGGGATCCTACAACAGTTTGAGGACCATCATAGTAGCTAGTATACAAGTTATCTTTTCAGAGTCTAGGACTTAATTTCTAAAACTTCAGACAAAAGTGAAACAGTATACAAATGCCTCTACAGCAAAATTTCAAACAAGGACCCTTCCACAGTAACTCATAGAACATGGACAGCTCAGGGTAAGGGTGTTTGGCCTTTCCCTAAATTAGATGCGAAGTATTTGAAGTTGTACACCTAAACCAGAGTATTCAGAATGTACTCACCAATTCTGAACTCTAGGTGGATTTATACCTACCTGGATTTAAGACACAATCAGTGGAACTCTACTGCCCTGCAGCAAACCTCCTCTCTTATTAACTCAGATTAGCAGAACTCTTATTTGCCTATTATCTGTTGACTAAGGGCAAGGACTAAGGACTATAATCTGTTGCTGAAAGCTCCTACAGACAGATGAGGCAACTGTCCTTCTTTCAGTATTCTGAAAGTTTTACAGGTTTCTTTTCGAACTGCAGAAAATAGACTAGATTTTGCTTCTATATAGAGATGAAATTGATATATATATAAAAATATATGTACATGTATACATACACACAGAAATGAAAAAAATAGGGAAAGTTTTCCATTTGTATCTTATTTCTAGGCTTCATTTCATATTATAAAGTTGCATATACACAAAAGCATATAGTTTTTCCTTGCTTAATGGGGAAGAAAAATTCAATGGTATGTCAACATTTACTACCTTATGCTACTGAGACTTTACCACTGAGTCCTGCCTATAATATTACTACTGCCACTTCCTTAAGTAAAGTATTAAAATGTCAGAAGACTTCCTAAGTAAAGCAAACGTAAAGAAGGTAACAGTAGGTTATTTGCCTAACAATAAAAGTATGTATATGTATATACATACATGTACCTTTCTCCAGCTAACAGCTATTTCAGTGTACTGTAAATGAATGAAGTCAAGAACAAAAATCTTCAAAGTGGACAAATTACACACTTGAAAAGATGGACTAAACCATCTTATACAAACATCTTATACAACCAATCTGCATTTCTATTAAAGAAAAAAATAATTATATATTCTATCTTTCAATGTTTGCAGCCTTGATCCCTTGCCAAGAAGTTCAAAGATCAAACTCAAGTTCTGACAGAAATTATGTAATTTTCTATTTATACATACATGTGAGTTTTAATTTTGAAAATGTATGTAAAGTTACAGATTTTTAAAGATATTTTCCAGTAGTCAGATTATTACTTAAATATCTGCTTTAACAGGACTTTCTACATGCAGCTGATCCCAGGATAAAAGGCAGATAAAATTTACAGTTCATCTAAGGTGACTAGCTATTGTGTAAGACTAGCTTTCTGTCTCATGAAAGTAACCAGAGTGCTAAAACACCACACAGGTGTAGAAATTTTCTTTCCCTCTACTCTTTCTTTACTAAGAGATAAAAGTAAGCCCATTAATATTATCCATATGATAAACGGATCCAAGCAGTTATTGGTAAAATATGACATTTGGGAGAAAAATTCAAATGCAAAAATACAGTAGCATTGTAGTAAAAAGCTTAGCATCACTAAAACTTAAATTTTAACTTCTGTATAGGAAAGACCTTAGTAACATTAAGTTTGGCAAAGTTTTGTTTTTAAAACAATTGTAGGTCATTAAAACAACTAGGAAAATATCTAAAAGAATCAGGGAAAAAAGATTAAAATTTTACTAACCATTATCAATGACTATTTTTAAAAGCCTATATTGTCCATTTCTTGCACCAACAAAGATGTCTTTAACACTTCCACTAGCTGAAAAAGAGAAAATAAAAGTAATCAAATTAACACATTTCACTTCCCTTGGACAAAGAACATTCATGAGGGTAAGAACAACACTGGAAAAACGTACAACTGGCCCTTTGCTAGAAAGTTGGACTGAAAAAGGAACACAGGAGTGATGCTCCTCCTATTCTGCATACTGCTCCAGCCACCAGCATGCCACAGAAAGATGAAAGCCAACATTACGAAACCGCTCTGCTTTCTAGCATACCATATGATTTTCAACATTGTGAAAATTAAAGATGACATCTCATCAATCTCAGGTTTCAGAGTTAACACAGCAACACAATAAAAATATGATGCCTCTCAAATTACAATAGCTTCATGAAGTCTGGAGGCTTAGTACAAACTTTCAGACAGAAACTTTACGCCTGCCAGGAAAATGTTAGAGTTTGTCTGGCAAAAGTGATGATCTTTCCTGAGTACACCTTTCCAAAGAGCACCAGTGAAAGCTTCCACTCATTGCTCATCTTTCATACCACTTTATTTCCTTGTGTGTTTGATGACATTGTTCAAGCTCCAACCTATTGCAACGGGATAGGTTTATAATGAATTTACAAAGAAGTAACTAAAATATTTTTGAATGTCTGTAAATCACATAGACAAAACACCATAAACGTACAGACTCACTTTCCTAAGCACACTGAAGAACTGTGCTTGAGTTGCGTGAAGATCATTCTTATCTCAACTGCTCTGCTATATAATCCGAGTGCAAATCAGTTTAATTATACCATGGGCAGGATTTATTGAAGAACATTTATTGCAAGATGGTCCTTTAAGTAATCTCACAGCACAGATCATTGTACCAGCAAAACAAACATCAAACCAGGAAACATACAAAATGGATTATTTATAGTCAGGTTGAACAGGTGGTATCCAGCAACATTACTGCCCATACTCAAAAGATTTTACATTTATGTCCATCCAAATGATGCCAGGCCCATTCTGAGAGTCCAAAATGGCATGGGAGGGAAATATTATGTTAAGCAAACTGAATTGCATCGGGTTACCAGTTCAACCCCAGTTTTGTCCCAGTTAGTATCTCCCCACTAACCAGTGCAGGCCCTCCCAGTAATTTGCTGCTAGCTTTTCTAATCATCTCTGCTGGTCCTCACCATTCCATTGAGCAAGCAAACATTGCACCATTTTCTAGACCTTTTGGTTCCCCCAGGACTTTTTTTGTCCTCTTCTTGTCTATTATCTTTTTGTTCCTTATTCTCTTATTTCAACTCGGCGCACCAAAACAAGACCAAAATACAGCAGTCCCTACGCCAATTTCAGAACTGTGACAGCTCCTCAAAGAAACATTTTGAGACACCTCTGAAACCATCTTACTATCAAATTATCTGTGAGTTTTTCCTCATAAAGGCTTTTAAATTCATAACAGAATATTATTTTCTACTTAAACTTTTTGCACAGCAGAGGCCTACAGAATCAAATTTTGGATTTGTTTCACAAATATTTTACAGGGAATATTATTTTAAAATTTTTTAGAAGGTTGTGAAGATATTCCGTTGTATTTTCCTACAGCTTAATGCATTCTGTGACTTCTTACACTATTTATCTGCGCTGGCCTGTTTGAAAGTCCAGTCCTTTTAGCAACTGCCTGGTACACATCACTGTGCCCATGACTTCATTTCTGTTTCCAGAAAAGAGCAGCCCATGCTGCCAAATCTTGTAATTGTTTATGAGTGACAGTAGCCTGTTTGTAGCTAAAGCCAGCAATGGCACAAACAGAGCTATTCCTCTTCCAAATTGCAGAAGCTTTGCTGCAAACAGGACTCCTGATTAATGTCTGCTGAGGCAGGATCCATGCAGGAAAGCTGCAGAGTTCTCCACAACTCTCCTCAGAGGACAAATGATTCTCAAAGACATGAAGGGGAGCAGCAGAAGAGGGAATGAAGAGCCACAAACGCTTTTCTCTGGACTGGAAAAACAATTCCAGATGCACCTCTAGCTAAAAAGGGTTGACAAACTTAAAACAGGTAGCTGCAAAAAAGACCAAAGACTGGCATGCAGAGGAAGGAAAAGAAGAAAAGCAAAAGGGTGCAAACTACATACAGCCAATGAACAAAAAAGGGCATAGACGAACAACTAAGAGCTGTCGTGGCTGGGACAAAAGTCACCTTCAACAATAAATATGGGAGAGTAGGCAAAGTACATGGTACTAGTCACTGAATACACAGATTGCAGAAATCGAGACAGTAAAACCCGACCCCTCCATAATCCTGCAGTATAATCCCTGCTTAGCAATTCTGTGATTCGGGGGACCTGCTAATACTGTGAAACAATACGCTGTCGTCTTCTACTTGCTCTTCGCTTACTCCAAGGCCTGGAAACACGGGGAGAAAACGTTCCCACGCACTTTTCCCCTTGGTGGCCTCCAGAGATGGGCTTTTTAGTGGACTCTCCTGCTCCAGGGTTCCTGCTTCTCCTCGGGGCTCCAGGAGGGACCCGGCAGCGATCCCCGGCATTTCCCTCGCTGTCCAACCCATCCCAAACCCGCGGCAGCGACCCCGAGCAGGGACAGCCCCCGGCTCGGCGCACACCCCGCCGCGGCAGGAAAACCTGCACCGGGGGAAGTTACCTGAGCCTAGGGTGGCCCTCCCCGCCATTCATGGGGCTCTGCAGGGAACACTTTCCAAGGGGGAGGACAGGGGCAGTTCGCCGTGCGGATAAACCCTGCGGGTTTCGCCTCACTGGGGACAGAGCTCTGGACTCGACCCCGAGGGGCGTCGGCCGCCGGGGCCGAAACCAGCAGCAGCTCCCCCCGCCCGCTCGCCCCCTCCCCCCTCCATCCCGCGGCGCAAACGACGGACTCCTCCGGCAGCAAACAAAGGGCGCAGCAGTGGGAAAAACCGCACCGGGAACGGCCCGTTAACCGCCCGCCGCGGCCGCCTCCCCCCGTGCCGCGCCCCGACCCGCGGGGAAAGGCGCTCCGCCCGCCTCCCGCCTGGCTGGCGGGGGACAGGAGAGACGGGGACCGGCTGTCAAGAGGAGCAGGGAGCACCGCGGAGCGGAGGCGGCGGAGAGAGCCGCGCGGGTACCTTGTATGCCGGTCTGGTGGGACATGTCGCACCGCCGCTCCGGGACACCGCACCCGCCGCCGCCTCCCGCCCGCCCGGCACAGCCCGGCCCGGCCCGGCCAAGCGCACGTGACGCTCCGCCGCCACTCAGCGGCCGGGAGAGAGCGCGGCGCCTTCCGGGCCCCGCCGGCCCGGGCCGGCCCGGGGGCTGCGGGCGGAGGGCACCGCGCTGGCGGCCCTGCCCAGCCCTGCCGCTGGGACCACCCCCCCCCGCCTCGCCGCTCCGTGCCCGCTCCTCCTGCCAGCTCCTCTCGGTGCTTTAGAACGGGGATGGGGCGCAGCCCTCCCTTCTCCTGCTGCCTTTCCTCTGCCTCTCCTGTCGCCCTCTTCATCTGCCGTCCCAGAGCCTGCGGGACACGGGCATCTCCGGCGCAGCGCCTGCGGTCATCCTGCATGGCAGGAGGGGACATGTGCTTCTTCCCTCCCGGGCTGACCGAAGTACTAAGAAATAACTTAGGTGAATTTAGTTAATCTGTAGGAGTCTGCGGTGGAGACCTCTTGCTCTTGGTTGGAGCAGCGGAGAAGGAGGCATCAGGTGTGACAGCAGGCTGCCTGTGTGTACTGTAAACTTTATATTGAACAGTCCTTGACAAAGAGCCCACAAGTTAGGGCACAGAGCCCAGACCCACGGCTCGCTCAGATCAAGCCCTTGCCCCTGACAAGGCAGTCTTTCTCTGTTAATTTTGCAGTATTTGGTACATGGTGGCACTGCATCAGCAGAAACAGTGGAGATTCTTCTACTTCACTGTGGATCTGGCGGGTGAGCCACTCATCTGCCTAGGCAGGGCATCTGATCCAGGCAGAGAAAGGGTACATCTGCTTCTCAGGGCCCTATCCACACAGCCAAAGGCTTTTAAGCCTTTTCAACCTGTTTGCCTCAGCTTTTTCTTTTAAAGTTTTCTGTGAAGCAGAGTCCTGCCTCGTGATTTTAAGCATGCTCTGAAGGTAGGTTTGCTTTTGTAGCTCTTTCCCAGGCACATCTGTCTACAGGTTGAGAAGCACCATCCTCTTAACAACAAAAAGATGGTACTATATTTCCTTTAAAAATCGCTTTAGTGCCGTGTAGTCAGCATTTTTAATCTGTGCTGTGGTCTGAATTAGACTCCACAGGAGAAATGTGCATGCTGTAGGCACTTAATGCTGATGATTCCGTCAGATTCCTGGGAGTTAGCAGGTTTTATGGGGTGCTATTCAACCTGAGAACCTAAGTACTGTAAGAGGGTATACCAAATATCCAGCCCAATGGACCAGGCAAGAATTGAAGAGTAAGGCAAACACATGATAATCCTTCCCTGGTTCACCTTCCCAGCCTCCAGAGTGCTGCAGCTCAGGAATTTCTGAAGTCAGCTGTGTTGATAAATGTGAGTGCCTGCACTTCGTCAGATCCCCAGTTTAAAGAACATGAGGGATTTAGTGTCCTATTTGGGAAATGTAAAATAGCACTCTTACTATTACACGAACTGTGCCGTGTAATGCTAGTCCAGCAAATGCAAAGTTGGTATGAAGACACATCATCAGCTAATGAGCTGGGACTAACAGCAGTTGAGGAAAAACACAAAGCTGCAGTTTATCTTTCTTCTAGCAAAAAGGATTAAAGAAACAGGGAAAAGACTTAATGTGAAACCAAGAAATGAGAGACAGAGATCAGCTCTAGTTCCTCTATTGTAAGCCTCCAGTACCATAAGAAAGCAAGCCTTGGAGAAGAGTTTTTTCAACAGGAAAGGAGTACTAGAGATCCAACCAGAGAGGCAACCAAAGATGTGGTTCTATCACAATTACTTTAAATCACTTGACCCCATGCCTGCCCCAGATTCTGAGTTCTTAGTTCTCCCTCTTTTGGTGTTAGTGCTTGTAAAGGATAGAGTTGCCTGAAAATTTACAAGGGAAAAAGAAGTTTTCCTTGATAGACAGATATCCTGAAAAGATAGATCAGTTCCTTGTTCCAGTTAGTCATGTGCTCCCAGGAGCACTACTGGATGTTCATACAGACTGGGGAATGAGATACTGGAAAGCAGTGTCAGGGCAGGGGACCCAGGGGTCCTGTCAATGGCAAGTTGAATATGAGTCAGCAGTGCCCTGGCAGCCAGGAGGGCCAAGTGTGTCCTGGGGGGCATCAGGCAAAGCATCACCAGCCAGTCGAGGGAGGGAATTGTCCCGCTCTACTCTGCACTGGGACAGCCTTATCTTGAATATTGTGTGCAGTTTTGGGCACTGCAATATAAGAAAGATATTAATATCTTAGAGAGTGTCCAGAGGAGGGCAATGAAGATAGTGAAGGGCCTTGAGGGGAAGCTGTATGAAGAGTGGCTGAGGTCACTTGGTCTGTTCAGCCTGGAGGAGTCTGAGGGGAGACCTCATTGCAGTCTACAACTTCCTCATGAGGGGAGGAGGACGAGCACTGTGGTGACCAGTGACAGGACCTGAAGTTGTGTCAGGGGAGGTTTAGGTTGGATATTAGAAAAAGGTTCTTCATCCGGAGGGTTGTTGGGCACTGGAACAGGCTCCCCAGGGAAGTGGTCACAGCACCAAGCCTGACAGAGTTCAAGAAGCAATGCTCTCAGGTACATAGTTTGATTCCTGGGGATGGTCCTGTGCAAGGCTAGGAGTTGGACTTGATGATCCTTGTGGGTCCCTTCCAACTCAGCATATTATGTGATTTTATTGTCACAATGTGGTAACAATGATGTGTAGCTAAGACTGTGGAAGTGTTCCTTCAGTGGAAATCCATGCTTGGATTGGAAATATCAGAGTGGTATGAGACTATATCATCTGTCACCATATTCAGATCACCTTGATTATCTGAGGTCATATCACAACACTTCCTGTCAATCTGAGGGCTCTAAAGTGCAGAAGTGGGATCTTAACATCAGTTTTATATGAATCAAAGCTAGTACACATTGGCATTTTGTAGCACCTCTTTGGCATAAAGACAAATGGAAAGTCTAAAGTATTTTCTTTAAAATTTTATTATCACAAATATTTTCTTATAGTACAGTGTTTGATGTTTGACAAAGAAAACATGTAGCGTGGAAACTAGCACAATCAAGTAAGGATTTTATGTCTAATGAAGATTCCTAAACTCCTGAATTTTAGTGTCCTTTAGAGTCTTACTAAAATGTTTTTGATCATTAAACTCCTATCCAAATCATAAAGAGTGTCAGGATAAAAATAGGGAGGTTTATTTCTTAGCATATGTATTAAGTAACTTTTTTCTTTTTATTGATTATATTTTATTCCCTGTATTTGAATTATTTTTTCCAGTAGATAGAAGATTTTTTTATCTAATTAAGGCTGTGATTATTTTGGTAGAGACAGCATACTGTAGTTTCCCAGATTTTAAAAAAGATTTTTTTAACTGAATAATAAATTACATTTTAAAAAAGGAAAGACTTTTAATATACTTTGATGCAATATTTTCTGTGTGATGTTGGGTCTTGTTTTCAGTGTCTTTATTGTCTTTCCCTTTACATTTACTTCTTCATTGATTTAACAATTCTCTATTCACTTGTGCTTGTTTATTAAATGCTGTGATTATAATATCTGTGGAATCATCAGTTCATTCAGTTCATAGTTTGCTAATGTTGTGTGAGCATTTTCTCCTGTTGTAATGTTGCCAGGAAGGCCTGTCCCAGGTTTGACTATAATTGTCCACCTCACAATGAAAATGCGTGTATTTTTTTTTACATACAATTCCTATTACTGCATTCTGTGCCTATCTTGAGGTGACACTTAAAACATTAAACTCATTTCCAATAGCAGAGGAGTGAAAACCTTCTTTGTACTGGGCAATATTATAATTTCATTTTCTTGCTGTGGAGCTCCATTGCCTGTAGATGTCTATCCTGACACTCTTCAAAACTTCAACTTAGATTATCTTTTCCCCCATCAGCATGTTCTTCAAAAATAACCATATTTTAAGATAATTAAAGTATTAGACAGTCCATCAGCAAGATGAACTTTCTTCTATATAGACTAAAACTTAATATTGACTACTTCCTTCAGAAATATGTGAAAACTTCACTTCTTTAACTCTACTTCTAGTAATCTCCATTCTAATGCAGTCATAGGTAGCTAAACACAGAAATTGCTTATAACTTTGAGAATATGTGGAATGTGTACCTAGCAAATGGGCTTTGATTTCTGAGCATGCCATTGTTATCTTTTTGTAAGCCTCAGTATATGCAGGTCTAATCAACCAAAACTCTATGTTCAAATCAAATAACAAGGTATTACTTTGTGATGATCAGAGCTAATGGATAGTATGCTATTAAGAATGATTGCTGTAAGAACTCATTGCTCTCTTGCCATTAGAGCAAGTGTTTTTCAGTACAGTGTGGACAGCTCTCACTTTATGTTCATCAGTAAGTTTTTACAGTAGGAATATATCTCTTAATTTCTTTATGCTCTGAGGCATTTCTGTTCATTTCTCATAAATTGGCAAATAAATCATTTAACTCCTGTATCTTACTATCCAAAATCTGAGGGACTTTTCTTTCTGGCTGCTTAAACAGCTGACACAGTAAGCAATTTCTGTGGGTGGCCAGGAACATGCTAGAGAGACGACTGTTTTAAATTGAATTGCAATATAGTAGATAGCCAAGACTGAGATACTGGGGCTCTCCTAGCCATTGCCATTGATGAAAACAGATTTGCAGCAATAGGTTTTGCGATCCTAAAAGTTGTAGAAAATTGATTTTTGTCATGTTTTGGGTATGCTTTGCTAATAAGATGCAAATATCTTGTGAAATAAACTGAACAAAGCACAGTTGGTGGGACTTCCCATGTTTCTTATATCTTTCTGTTCTGGTAAGTACTTCCAGACATTATTAAGGAGTTGATTCTGAAAATTTTTTTTAAATATCTATGTCCATTTCTAATCCTTATATGCTGATCTGGTAAATCTGTAGATAGACAGTAGACACAGCATCTCTGCATCCTCTGTGCACATCATAATGGACAATATCACAGTCAAATTGTTTCGTGCTCTCAGTGATTTTTAAATTACAAAATTTCTCAAATGTTTCTAGTTCTTTTATATACTTTCCTTAGT